GAGCCGCTCGTCGCGGCTCCCTTCACGGCCCTTGTTGTGGCTCTTGTTACGGGCATGTCGCACACCCCCCCACCCTTTAGCCCCACCTGTGCCTCCCGTTACGTTCCTGCTATTGGGGGAGGAGGTGGGGGTGGCGGCCAATAGGGGGGAAGTCGCGAGGGTGGCAGACAATGGGGGGGAGGCAAAGGGGGTGATGGCTATGGGCCTACTCCAACAGCCGCAGGCCTAACACACCTCAGCCGCCCCTAATGGTATGGAGGGGATGCTGAGGGGTTCGCGGGAGTGAACCTACGATACCAGCTGCCACCCACCTCCTTTCTCCGTCCATCTCCTCCTTTCTCCTCTCATCATCCTCTCTCCTCTATCTCCCTTTCGCTGTACTTTTCCACCTTCTCGCCTATGCTGCTGACGTGCAATTGCTGCTGCCACATATGCCGCCATTGCACTTGCTGCTGCTACACCTGAAGGCACTGAGCATTTGTCGATGTTCCCTGCTGCAGCTGTCGCACATGCCGCCCCCTGTTACTGCATCTGCCGTCTCTACATCTGCCAACTACACATCTGCCTTCCACCGTGTCTTCTGGAGCGCACTCAAGATGGTGTAGCCTTTTGGGGGCTGTTTCCCGCAACTGATTTTTGCTGTAGGGGGTGTGTCATAAAAAATGTACATAAATCACGTGAATAAATTGCATACAGTATGAAGTACTGAAGTGTAGCACTAAAGGTGTGGGTGGAGCACCCTTTGCCTTCCCTTGCCTTGTATTTCTTGCTTCTTTCAATAACGCAACCCTCTTTTGCATTCCTTCTTCCGCTCGTTACTCCTAGTCTACTTTAGTTCTTAAATTTGCCCACTGCCCTTGGCGACCAGTGGCTACGGATTTTGTGTCTGGACTCACAGCTGGCACAAATGGCTGTGAAGAGAATGAGGAATGATGGACTAGGAAATGAGTTGGGTACAAATATATAACCCTAGAAAACTTTACCCCATACTGTCTACCCCACTACAGCCTAGAAAGACTATAGCATAAATGTTTGACACACCCCCATAGGCAAAGTGGGTGAGAACAAGGGGTCACAAGACCAGTCAAGCAAAGCAAAGCTCAGGGTGGATCACAACGTCACCACACATTCCGAGCACAAGTTGAAGGCCACAAGGCCACTTCATATGCAGGATTATATATAAAGGTAAACAAGCAAGTGCAGGTATAAAAAGATCACAGTACAAGCAAGGTCAGGAAGTGAGCAAGTGAGGCCAAGTAGGCACAAGACCTAGCATCGTACAAAAGCGCTGATGATCACAAGGCTGAAGTGCCTCGGTAAAGATATCAACACTGTTGGCCCTAGAGGCCACGTAAGCAAGGCGCAGCTGACCACGCTGCTGCAGCTCTCGAGCAAGGAAGTAGCGAAGAGCAATGTGCTTTGTTCTGTGCTCCACTCTGTGCTCTCGACACAAGGCCAGCATGGCCTTGTTGTCTACGTACAGAACTGGAGGAGAATGAGGCGGCTCTCCTAGGTCGGTCAGCAGGTAGGTGAGCCAGCGTAGCTCCTGTGCAGCCATGGCCCCTACGTAGATCCCAGCCTCACAGCTGGAGTCGAGAACACAAGACGAGCGAGTAGACCGCCACGAAACAGAGCCGGAACCAAGGCTGAAGGTGTAACCCTGTGACGACCGCTGCGTAGCCTGGTCGTCAGCCCAAGAAGCGTCTGCGTGACCTGTGAGGACCACTGAACGCCGCCCTCCAAGCACGAGCCCCATGCCCGACGTACTGCACAAGTAGCGCATTACCCTCTTCGCTGCAGCCATGTGCTCAGGTCGGTGTCTCCCAGGAGCAACATAGCGTGCCAAGATGCTAAGAGGGTATGCAAGGTCAGGTCGTGTGCAGGTCATCACCAGCAAGCTCTGGGTACGAGCCACTTGGCTCTACGGACTCATCCAAAGGCAGAGCTGAGAGCGAGTGGCGAGTAGGTAGAGGAGTGGCCTGAGGCGAGGAGTACGTGAAGTCAAAGCGCTGAAGGACCTGCTGCACCATGTGTGACTGAGTCAGGGTAATGGTGCGCTGTGCTCTGTCCCGGGTGATTTGCAAGCCAAGGTAGCTGCGCAGTTCACCCAGGTCTGTGCACGTGTGTCTCTTATGCAGCTCGGACTTCACGTGGGCGAGTTCAGCAGTGTCAGCCGTAGCAAAGACCAAGTCGTCGACGTACACGAGGATGTAGAACGGCGGCAAAGAGGTGTCGGTGCGTAGAAACAGCGACGGGTCGGCAGTAGAAGGAGCAAACCTAAGAGCGGCAAGAGTAGTCCTCACTATGTCGTGCCACTCATGGAGCGCCAAGCGGAGACCGTAGACTGACCGCCGGAGGATCCACTGGGTACCAGGAGGAAACGGCCCAGTGAAGCCAAGTGGGCGGTGTAGCCAGATCTCCTCGTGCAAGCTGCCCTGTAGGAAAGCAGTGCTGAAGTCAAGAGACTGAAGCTCGTAGTAGCGCTGAGCGGCTATGTGCAGCAGCACCCAAAGAGTGGTCATCTTCGGGGTGGGAGAGAAGGTCTGAAAGTAGTCAACTCCCTGCCGCTAACTGAAGCCTCGAGCCACGTAACGCGCCTTGAAGAGAGGCGGAGAACCCGGCGGCTGCTTCACCATGAAAATCCACAAGCCGCTAACAATGTTCGCTCCAGGTGGGGGAACCTCATCGACGTAGGTGCCTGTGGACTTCCAGGAAGCCATCTCTGCGTCCATGGCTGACTGCCACTGTGAGGAGTAGGGACCCTCTATCGCCTCCGCGTAAGAGCGCGGAGTCGGGATGTCTGGTGCATCCCGGTCTCCCTCAGGGGCAATCTGCATGGACACGAGATGAGGCAAAGCAGCAACAAAACACTGGAACTCCTCCCGCCTGTCCTCAAGGACGTCCGTGCTAAGAGCACACTCACCCCCGACGGACGGAGGACAGACAGACTCAGACTCAGCAACTAGACTAGCAGCGTAGTCTAGACGACAGCGAGCAGCAAAGTCGACGAGCTGAGCAACTAGGGCAGACGCAGTAGTGGACTCAAAGGAAGGGTCAGTGACAACAGTAGCCAGGAGACGCGTGTTAGTAGGGCTGGTTGCACGAAGAGAGTCAGACTCTAGGTCAGCAAGAGTAGGAAGAGAGGACTCTTGAGGAGACGGCAAAGGGACACGCGGTGGAGCAGTGGAAGGATGCAGTGCCATCTGGTGTGTGCCCGGGGCCGCAGAAGGACGCGGACGCGGAACACGACGACTAGTGCGAGCAGCTCAAACAGGCGATGCAGGACGAGACGCAGGCTTTCGACGCTCAACAAGACCTCTAGTAGGACCAGTGTAGGGAGAAGGAGTAGGCAGGGGGGAGGTGGGCTGTAACTGTGACTCAGACTGGACAGGCAGTGGACACTCTAAGGAAGGAGCAGGACCAGTAGAGGGCGGAAGACCAAGAACCGGCTGAAGGAGCGGAAAGAAGTACGGCCGTGGCCGCGTAGTGCCTCCAGAACCAGCAGGTACAGCACGAGCACCCCCAGCGGCAGCACCTGCGCCAGTAGCACCCCCAGCTCCAGCAGCGCCAACTCCAGCACCCCCAGAAGCACCATCGCCAGCAGCACCTACAACGCCAACGCCCCCAGCAGCTCCAGCTCCAGCAGGACCACCGGAAGACTCAACAGCTCCAGCTGCAGTAGCTTTAGTAGCACCTACCCCAGCAGCACCGCCAGCTCCAGCACCGCCAGCAGCTTTAGTACAAGGAGTACCCCCAGGCCCAGCAATTCAAGTACCTCCAGTACGAGCACCTCTGGGACTCGTGACACCAACACCCTCAGCAGCAGTAGAACCTCCAGCTCTAGCAGCACCTCCAGCTCCACAAGCACGGCTCTAGCGCCGAGCAAACCACTCGCGCAGCTCCTGGGGAGAGGGGAGCTCCCGCCGGGACGAAGCACCCGAAGGACCTCAGACCCATTAACGCTAGACTCCACCCAAGCAGGCCCAGCACCCTCAGGCTCCACACCCCCTATCGCAGCACCCCCACGCTCAGCACCCCCACACGCAGCACCCCCAGGCTCAGCACCCCTAGGCTCCGCACGCATAGGCTCAGCAACCCCAGGCTCAGCACCCTCAGACCCCGCACCCGCAGGCTCTGTTAGAGACCAAGGACGGAGTCTATGAAGATTATGGGCCTAAATTTCTCAAAATCGTTGGTCTCAATTTCTGGACAGAAAGGTCGAGTTCACAAGAAACGCCGTCGACAAAACGTTCACGGTCAAACATTCACAAAACTCAGATATGTTGTAGCACTATTCGGTGGCTACAATTCCCAATTTGAATCGTATCAAGAGGTGAAGTAAATCTTGACTTATCAATTTCGGCGCACAGGGGGGTATTCTGCCATAAGAACTTAACTCAATCACAATAGTCTCACAATTTCACAATTACTACACAAGAGAGTTAGAGTAGCACTAAACCAGGTGGAAGGAATGAGGAGGATGAAAGGGAAGGTCCCAAGAGAGTCCCCAACCAAGGAAACCCCATGCCACACAATTCCCTTCCCCATAGGCAACCCAACTTTGACCTTTTGTCACTATCTCAACCTCCACAATCCACCTCAACCCAACTTGGCCACACTTGCCAACCTGGTTTGGTTTCTCCCAACCATTTGGCAGCAACTACAGTAGAAAAGACGAATTTCTCAACCCCCAAAAGTCTGTACCCCATATTGAGTCAACCCCACAACTTCCCACAGTTGCCACAATCAAATATGAAAAGCATACGAACTCCAACGTTCGTAACTTTCTTGTTCGTGCTCCGATTGAAGTGATACTTGGTTCGCTGGAAAGCTCTTGAGCAGAGGAGTCACTTCAGATATCTGCTCAAGCCAAATAACATTCAAACACACTCAGAAAAACCAAACCGCACAAAACTCAAATTCTTGCACACGCTCACACCACGCATGCAGCGCACGAACACATGATGGGAGGCAGACAGACGTGAATGCATATAATTGCATCACACAACACGGTCAGCACCCCTAGCAGCACCAGAGTCAATAGCTACCTTGACAGGCTCGACTGCGTCTACCTGAGACACACCTGAGGGGGCAGGACCCTGAGGGGGGAGGGGGTCTACCAAGGGGGGACCTGGAGCGAGGAAGAGCGGCGGCGGGGGAAGGGGTGCAGTGCGGTAGGGGAAGAGACGGTAGTAAGGAACCGACTCGTCAAACGTGGCGTCCTGGGAGGACAGAACACGACGCGAGGTGGGGTGGTAAAACTGCCAACCAGGCGCGTCAGGGGGGAACCAAGGAAGACGCAGGGAACAGCACGGGGGAACAGCTTGTCGGCAGAGAAGTCACGGACAAACGCCCGAGATCCCCATACACAAAGCGCAGACGCATCGCCAACCTTCCCCGTCCACCGCAGAGTAGGGGAGGTCTCTGGTAAGGAGACCCGGGGCTGAAGGTTGATCTGATGTGCCGCATAACGAACCGCGAACAGCCACAGAAAATGGGGAGCAGCCGCATGGATCATGGACGTACGAGCCACGTCCATGACCATGCCAATGCGGCGCTCAGCAATCCCATTTTGTTGTGGGGAGGCCGGAAGCGTGAACGTCTGGCGGATGCCCCGTGCACGACAGAAGGCTCGCAGAAGGTCAAAGGAAAACTCTCCGCCTCTGTCAGAGTGCAGACGCTGAACAGGAAAGTCGGAGCCGAAACTCTCTCTGAGCTGGAGACGAGCTACGCGGATCCAGTTGATCAACACCTCAGTGACCTCACCCTTGCTGCGCAAGGGGAAGACTGTGGTGTAACGCGAGTAGTCATCAACGACCAACAGGAAGTAACGCTCTTGACCCTGTCCATGGACACGAGCGGGGCCCCACAAGTCCAGGTGAAGTGTCTGCAGCGGAGCCTCTTTCATAGGAAACTCGAAGGAGTGAGGAGCGGCGTGCTGCCGCCCCTCGACGCAGGGAACGCAGGTAGGGGCAGGCCCCGGAGGAAGAGGAGGGAGGGACCGGGGGAGACCAGAGACAAGGACACGGGAGGCCATGCCTCGGAGACGAGGCAGCGAGCGGTGACCAAGGCGGTGGTGCCAGAGGAGAGTCTGGTGAGACAGGATACAACACAAGTAGGGGGCAGACTCAGGACCAGGCCTGGACGCTGCAGCAAACACCTGACCCGACGCAGCTACCTGACCAGACGCAGCAGACGGATGAGACTCAGTAGTAAGGGTGTACAGGCTCGACCCCGGCTGATGGGTAAACGTGGCCAAGTGTCGGCCCGTCCGAGCACACGTGCAGTGGGTCACTCGTTGACTCGCAGGAGTGAACTGGTCAACCCCCCCATCCTGTAGATCAGCACAACTCACCGAGTTAGTAGAGAACGAGGGGAGGTAAGGACCTGACACCGTGCCAGAAGGGGCCGCCGGACACGGTAAGACAGTGGAGAAGTGGGCTATGACAAGACCCCCAGAGGGGTGTGCCAGGGAGACTGCAACCGGCCGACGAAGCGACGTGGGTGTGGTGCGGTCTCGAAAGAAGGAGCGGGAAGCACCCGAGTCAAGGGTGAAGGTGTGGAAGGCCTGAGCCGACGTGGTACCTGAGAGAGCAGACTCACCAGTACCTGGAAGAGCAGACGCACTAACACCTAGAGCTGCAGCCTCACCAGCACCTAGAGCAGCAGCCTCAATTCCCGGGTTAGGCAGAATACACAGGTAACAGTCACCCTCATCACTAGTAGACACAAGAAACATGGCGGCAAGAATAGCATCATAATCAAGATCAAAGATAGCAACCCCCGACCTAAGCAGCTTGCCCCAGCGAGGGATCTTAGTGGCGCCAGGGAACTGGAGACGCCAGGCATTCGTCAGGCGGCCGAAGCAGCGCTGGGTGGTGTGCGGGCCATCACACTGCTCACCAGTGCGGTCGCTCGCCGGTACGCACGACGTAGGCACAGGGACCAGCACCCCCACCCTGCTGACGCGCAGCGTACCACTCACGAAGCTGCTGGGGGGGCGTGGTGTCACGAGTGCGCTGCTGCTGCTGGCGCTGACCACCAACGAAGCCGCCCCGCTGCACAGCGCCACCCCGACCAGCTCTACTGCCGCCGCTGCCACCGGTGCCACCGCCGCCTCCTCCGCTCCCACCGCCACCGCCACCGCCGCCGCCGCCTCCGCCTCCACTGCTGCCACCGAAGCCCCCACCCCCTCCACCACTCCCACCGCCACCCCCACCCCCTCCGCCACCTCCACCGCCACCTCCACCGCCCTTGCCATCCCCTCCAACGCCCTTGCCCCCCTTGCCCTTGCCGTTGCGGCGTCTCCCGCTAGGGACAGACGCAGCGCCGACCGACTTGGTGCCAAAGAGGTCGACCGCAGCAGCAGAGGCAACAGAGGGCAAAAGGGGGGAGGGGGAGCACCCCTCAAAGAAGGGGGCACGAGGGTCACCACGAGAGGCTCCTACAGCGACTATACTCTTCATAGCTGCCAGGAGGCGCTCCTCGAGGAGGTCAACGGTGAGTGTGGTGGGGCAAACAGAGAGGAAGTGGTCCCTGACCGAGCGAAGGGAGTCAGAGAGCCGGGTGACTAGGTAGTAGAGGGTGATGTACATGGGGGGGGGGGGTTTTTTGGCGTCGAACTCATCAAGAAGCGCAGCGCGGTAGCGGGTGTCACTAGTGCGAAGGTGCGTAATGAGGTCAGCGACTGTGGGAAAGGCGGCGAGGTCCGGGAACAGGTACGACACTATGAGGCGACTAAGGGCAGCAGTGGCAGGGGAAGAGTAGCGTGCAACTACAGCGTTGTACAAGGTCTTAGCACTCTTGTACTGACTAAAGTGCGCGCGCTCAGTGGACGGCAAGGGACTACGCACAGCAAGACGGGCAGCAGCATTGCGTGTGGCTCACTGTGAGCAAACAGTGCAGTCAGCATCGGCAGCAGGGGCAGCAGAGGCGCTAGACGTGAGATCGAACAGTGAGAGACCGTCTTTCCTATCGCACTGCAGGAAAAGCTGCAGATCATCGACCCAGACCTCAAAGTCGACAGCCCGACCCTCAGCATCAAAGGTGAGAACACTAGGGGTAGCCATGACAGCAGCAGCAGCAGGCTAGCAATAGCAGTGGCAGGCTAGGAGCAGCTCAGTAGCAGGGGCTGTCAGAATCCCAACCACTAGACCATTGGGATAAAAGGGCTTGTTTCAGTAGCGGGTAAGTGCGCCCATAACCCCCCAGGCGAACGTGCCTGTAACCCTCCCCAGGATCAATCGGGCATCCACAGTGCAGATCTACTGACAGGGGCGCGGCTCGGCGGTGCTCTTACCAAGGCGGGTGGGTAGAGGTCCGCAAGTGGTGGGGCAGGGCCGAGGCGCGCCGGCAGGGACAGGGCCGCGACAGGTCGGCAGAGGAGAGCCGCGCTTCAGCTGCAGGGCAGGGCCGGGACGGCGGCGGTGGCTGTCACGGCAGCGGCGGCGGCGGCTGCTGCTGTCAGCGGCGGCGGCGGCGGCTGCTGCAGCACCGGCAGCGGCGGCGGCGGCTGTCACGGCAGCGGCGGCGGCGGCTGCTGCTGTCAGCGGCGGTGGCGGCTGCGGCCCCGGCAGCGGCGGCTGCGGCTGTCACGGCAGCGGCGGCGGCGGCTGCTGCTGTCGGCGGCGGCGGCGGCGGCTGCGGCCCCGGTAGCGACGGCGGCGGCTGTCACGGCGCCACGGCAGCTACTGCTGGGGCGGCGACGGCGGGGCGGCAGGGCCGTGAATGGCCACGAAGGGCCGTGGAGGAGCCGCAAAGGGGCCGCTAAGGGCGGCGAAGGGGCCGAGAAGGGGCCGCAAAGGGCCGTGAAGGGGCCGCGAAGGGCGGCGACGGGGTCGAGAAGGGGCCGTGAGGGGCCGCGAAGGGCGGCGACGGGGCCAAGAAGGGCCCGCGAGGGGCCACAAAGGGGCCGCGAAGAGCGGCGAAGGGGCCGCGAGGGGCCGCAGGGGCCGCGAAGGGCCGTGAGAGGGGCCGCGAAGGGCCGCGAAGGGACCGCGAAGGGCCGTGAGAGGGGCCGCGACGGGGCCTTAAGATGGCGCGACGGGCCACTAAGGGCAGGCACACCGGGCGCGACTAGGGCAGGGGCGAAGCGCGCTCCAGGCAGGTAAAAAAAAAAAATCGATTTCATGGTGGGCCCTAGGATTTGTTCCCACTAGGGAACCTACTCTATACCATGTGAAGAGAATGAGGAATGATGGACTAGGAAATGAGTTGGGTACAAATATGTAACCCTAGAAAACTGTATCCCATACTGCCTACCCCACTACAGCCTAGAAAGACTACAGCATAAATGTTTGACAATGGCAACGACGTGGTTTTGACGATGTTGATTGCCTGAACAAGATGTTGCCATTTAGAACACGTCACACGAAGATCACAGCAGAAGATTCATAAAGATGTTCGTCTCCACTGTTATTTGTCTCACAGCTTGAGATGTAACATTTACCGCACTTCAAAGTTCCGACAGGAGACGTAGCGCAGTACGGTACCAGACTGCAGTTTTGTCGTCATATCATCTTTACACTAACAATCATACCAGCCAAACAATTGAACAATCAATGTATGCAACCTGCCTTGATAGGTATCTAGGTGGGAAGATCCACCCTGATGCCCGAACTCGCCTAAAATTACTCATCGTGGGCAATGACAACCCAATCGCTGGTTTACATGTATTGTAGGCTATAACTAGTTGTATCCCCCGTATCGACAGACGGACTCAGCTACCCAGATCCAAGCATAGCGCCACGGAACTACATGGGGCCCGTGAAAAAAAATGGAATGAATTTACGAATAACGTGAATATCGCCGCTTTCCGCTAAAAACTACTCAGGCAGGCCGAGCAACTTGTTTGCGTGCATTACCTGGCAAAACTTTGCCTACAAATTTTATAGAACCTTTCGCAACAAAGACCAAGTTATTGTTACTGGATCAATTGCTGATTCATGTCGCATTTCATGTAGTTAGATGCAAGCGTTTGCCACACGAGATAACAAATCGCACCACGTCGAATTTGTCAGAGGGTTACAGGTGTCAGAACATTATAGCTCATGCATATTGTGTAGGCTATAGTGGGGTAGCCCATAAGGGGTACAACCCAATTAGGGTTAGTACTTGTACCCAATTCATTCATAGTTCATTCATTCTCGTTTCAATTCTCACATGGTATCGAGTAGGTTCCCTCGTGGCAACTGTTCCTAGGGCCCACCAATTCGACATTTTTTTTTCCTGCCCGGAGCGCGCTCAGCCCTAGCCCGAGTCGCGCTCCCGCTTTTTTTTTTCTCGCCCCGTCGCGCCGCCCTAGCGGCCCTGTCGCCTGCCTTGCGGCCCTCGCGCCGCCCTTCCTGGCCCCGACCCGCCGCCCGGCGGCCTCGTCGCCTAACCCGCGGCCATCGCGCCGCCCTTTCCCGGCCCCGATCCGCCGCCCTGCGGCCTCGTCGCCTACCCAGCGGCCCTCGCGCCGCCCTGCGGCCCTGACGTCTTCCTTACCAGCCCCGGCGCCTACCTGCGGCCCCGACGCCTACCTGTGCGGCCCCGGCGCCTACCTGCTGGCCCCGCCACCTACCTGCGGCCCCGCCACCTACCTGCGGCCCCGCCACCTACCAGCGGCCCCGCCACCTACCCGCGGCCCCGCCACCTACCTGCGGCCTCGCCACCTACCTGTGCGGCCCCGCCACCTACCTATGCGGCCCCACCACCTACCTGCAGCCCCGCCACCTACCAGCGGCCCCGCCACCTACCTGTGCGGCCCCCCCACCTATCTGCTGGCCCCGCCACCTACCTGCGGCCCTGCCACCTACCAGCGGCCCCGCCACCTGCTGCGGCCCCGCCACCTACCCGCGGCCCCGCCACCTACCTGTGCGGCCCCGGCGCCTACCTGCGGCCCAGCAACCTACCTGCGGCCCCGCCACCTACCAGCGGCCCCGCCACCTACCTGTGCGGCCCCGCCACCTACCTGCGGCCCCGCCACCTTCCTTTGCGGCCCCGCCGCCTCCTTTCAGCGGCCCCGCCGCCTCTTCCCAGCGGCCCCGGACGCCGCCCTCTCAGCGGCCCCGCCGAGCCGCCCAGCAGCCGAGCCGCCCAGCAGCCGAGGCGCCCAGCAGCCGAGCCGCCCAGCAGCTGAGCCGCCCAGCAGCCGAGCCGCCCAGCAGCCGAGCAGCCGAGCCGCCGAACCGCCCAGCAGCCGAACCGCCGAGCCGCCTAGCAGCCGAGCTGCCGAGCCGCACAGCAGCCGAGCCACCGAGCTGCCCAGCAACCGAGCCGCCGAGTCGCCCTGCAGCCGAGCCGCTCGAGCCGCCGTGTCTGGTAAGAGCAGCGCCTCTTTCACAGCACTGCCCTCACCCTACTGTTTGCGCTTCTAGTCTACTGCTGTCATGGCTACCCCTAGTGTCCTCGCTTTTGACGCTGAGGGTCGGGCCATTGACTTTGACGTATGGATAGATGACCTGCAGCTTTTCTTACAGTGCGATAGGGCAGACGGCCTCTCCCTCTTTGACCTCACTTCTGGTGCCTCTCCTGCCCCCTACTGCTGATGCTGACGCCACTGGTCGCTCACAGTGGGCCACGCGCGATGCTGCTGCACGTCTTGTTGTGCGTCGCCACCTGCCTACCTCTGAGCGTGCGCACTTTAGCCAGTACAAGAGTGCTCAGACCTTATACGACGCTGTAGTTGCACGCTACTCCTCCCCTGCCACTGCTGCACTGAGCCGCCTAATGCTACTGTACCTCTTCCCTGACCTTGCTGCCTTTCCCACAGTCGCTGAACTCATTACGCACCTCCGCACTAGTGACACTCGCTACCGCGCTGCGCTTCCTGCTGAGTTCTGCGCCAAGAACCCCCCCCCCCCCCCCCCCCCATGTACATCACCCTCTACTACATAGTCACCCGTCTCCCTGACTCCCTTCGCGTAGTCAGGGACCACTTCCTCTCAGTTTGCCCCACCACTCTCACCGTTGACCTCCTCAAGAAGGCCCTCCTAGCAGCAGAAAAGAGCATAGTAGCTGTAGGAGCCTCTCGTGGTGACCCTTGCACCCCCATCTTTGAGGGGTGTTCCCCCTCCCCTCTTTTGCCCTCTATTGCCTCTGCTGCTGCGGCCGACCTCGTTGGTCTAGAGTCGGTCGGTGCGGCGTCTACCCCTAGTGGAAAGCGTCGCTCTGGCAAGGGCAAGAGGGGCAGGGGCGCTGGAGGAGCTAGCGGGGGCGGTGGAGGCGGCGGTGGAGGCAGTGGAGGGGGTGGGGGTGGTGGTGGGAGTGGTGGTGGGGGTGGAGGTGTCGGCGGCGGCAGTGGAGGCGGAGGCGGCGACGGCGGTGGCGGTGTGAGCGGAGGTGGTGGAGGTGGCGGAGGTGGAGGAGGCGGTGGCGGAGGAGGAGGAGGAGGTCGTGGCTCTTCGCAGAGGAGTGGCTCCGGTGGTGGTCAGCGCCAGCAGCAGCAGCGCAGTCGGGAGACCCTGTCCCCTCACCAGCTCCGTGAGTGGTACGCTGCACGCCAGCGGGGTGGGGGTACTGGTCCGTGCACCTACGTCCTGCGCACCGGCGACCGTGCGGGTGAGCAGTGTGGGGGTGCGCACCCCGCCCTGCGCTACTTTGGCCGCTTGATGGACGCTTGGCGTCACCAGTTCCCTGAGGCCACTGAGATCCCTCGCTGGGCGAGCTGTCTAGGGCAGGGGTAGCTATCTTTGACCTTGATTTTGATGCTATTCTTGCTGCTATGTATACTGAGTCTATTAGTGAGGAGGGTGACTATTACCGGTGTTTCCCGCCTGACCCGGGCATTGAGACTGCTGCTCTAGGTGCTGGTGAGGCTGCTGCTCTTGGTGCTAGCGAGGCTGCTGCTCTAGGTGCTAGTGCGTCTGCTTCCTCTGGTACTGGTGAGTCTGCGCTCTCAGGTACTGCGTCGGCTTCGGCCTCCCACACCTTCACCCTTAACTCGGGGGCTTCTCGCTCCTTCTTTCGAGACCGCACCACACTCACGCCGCTTGGCCGGCCAGTTGCAGACTCTCTGGCAGACCCCTGTGGGGGTCCTGTCCTTGCTCACTACTCCAC